TCCCACAGCCAAGTTCAGCTCAGATGGCTGAGCTCATCGCTCTCATACAAGCATGCAAGTTGTCAAAAGACAAAGTGGTGAACTATTACACTGATTCTGCATACGCTGTACAAGCGGTACACGTAGACTTGTGTCACTGGAGGAGAAAGGGATTTGTGACTTCAACTGGCTGTCCGGTAAAACACTTACAACAGTTACTCGAATTAGAACAAGTTTTGAGATTGCCGAAACAGATGGCCATCATTAAGTGTAAAGGACATCAGAAAACAGACACTCAGCTGAGCAGAGGTAATAATATAGCCGACCTGGCCGCAAAGGCAGTTGCCGGCTATCAGTTAGCTCAAGGAGCTATTAGGGACATTGAAGTCCTCTGGGGTTGGAGCTTTGGAAGCTCACCGCCAAGCAGTACTGAAGACCTAAGAGGTCAGAGCTTTGGAAGCTCAGAGATATGCCGTACGAATATCTGTAATCCCACGGCCTGTGGACCAACTTGGAAGAAGATGACAAATCAATCAATTATTGTTTCTTTTATTTATTTATTTGTGTATTTATTTGCACTTTTATTTATGCCTGTACTTATTTATGTCATGCTATGTAATTCATGTTTCATCCTCCATAATCAACGTTGCCATGCATATCAATAAATAGAGGGAATCTCAGCATAGTCTAATGCCAAGAACAGGTGGTCAGGAGGCAGCTCATGGTAGTTTCTTACTGTCAGAGTAATGACAATGTCCACATTCAACAATAGTGCGAAGCGGCTCGTGATTTATTAGTGGTAAGCTAAGGATACATCTGCGCACCCAAGGCTAAGCAACGACTTGAGCACACATTTAGACCGTATGGAAGCTTTTACTTTTGTATAAATTTTCTCCTTACTTAGGTTTTCACAGGCGAATTGTGTCTACCATGTTCATTTTTTAAAACTTTATTTCACATAATAAAGATAAAGAATATAAAGAAAACACAACAGAACAGTGCCAGGGGTGAAACAATAATAAAATAAAATAGATGAAAAAAATAAATAAAGGAAAAGCTACATATTCTTAATAAGAAGCTGATATTTTTGACAAAGAATGCAAGTCTTCAAAGCTTTTGCATTGTCAGAAGAGGAGATAGTCTTTATGTAAAAGTCTAGGTAAATACAAAAAGATAGGAAGCAGGGTTTGGTTTTTTCAAAATTGCATTTGTGTAGAAAATATTTGCTTTGAAGGACAATTAAGTTAATTAAAAATTGTTCTCCATTAAAATGTCCTGTACAATGTCCCCTTTAATTCTAAAATCCTTAAAAAAGCTGCTGCAGACCAATGTGTGAGCTAAAATGTGGAAAAAAGCCTGATGTTCAGACTTACAATGAAGTGACTTCCTTTGGCATGTAATTTGTTTTTGCAGAATGGTATTGTGACACTTAAATTTATGGTCATCAAAATTTGTGCAGCCTGGAAACAGAAAAAATATGCCACATGTAAATATTGTCTAAAGACAGAATTATGTTAATGGAAATAACCATATGAACAGAATACCATCCATCCGTCCAAACCTGAACTTCACTACCACCACCTTGTGTTTATGGACATCTAGTGGTCATCAGTAGAAAACACAGTTTATATTTCTACGTCACAACAAGCCCATTGCAAACAGCAGCTTACAGGTGACTTAATATTGAAGCTTTGTTAAGCAGTTATTCTGGTGTTTGTAGTCAGTGCAAAAGCAGCAACTATCTGGTCTCTTTTTGTCTGAGAAAGCTGCCATGTGTTGTTGCCTTGAAGAGTCACTCATTTTTCATACGTGTATACAGTATGTGATAAGTGCAGTAATAGGGCACTGCAACAAGATCTGAAACGTTTATGCAGTCTGAAACTATTTTAGCCAATTCTTGATTCTCCTACTGAGGTGCTGTTAGTCTGTGCTTTCCAACAAGATATCATCCCAGCTGCTTTTCATTCAGTGGTCAGTTTAGGGAATGCTTCAATCATGTATTTTCTCTTGCCCACTTTTTTTTTTTTACCTGTTTCATCACAACTAATTCAAATCTTTGTGGAAAATAAACAAGTCTCAAACACCATCAAAATGGAATACTGTATGCGGTCACACAAACTCAAACACATGTACACAGGTAAAAAGTTCCAGATGCCCCTGTAAGTTTTGTTTTCATATGAGCATGACCAATCCTCACATTCTTGTCCTGTCTCACACTGGGACACACATGAAGAAACAGGAAGTTTTCACCATGAACAATTTATCCAATGAACACTAAGAAGTGATAGGATTAAATATTTTCAGACAAAAATGATTAGGGTAATTATCCGATATGGCTGCATGTCAGCTAGGAATGCTTACAAGTAGCTCATTGTTAAGTTCAGCACAATGGGACACCTGTGTAACATGGAACAAGAATAGCTGCTCTACTTAAAAGGAACTGGGAGTTTGCCTGGAGATTCCAAAAC